ATTTGGGAACTCTATTTAAAAACGGCGAGTTTGCATATGGTTTCGATGACTTGGACTTACCTGGAAGCATCAGGAAGCTGTCTGGTGTGAAATAGTCTGAACATATTATTTCTGAGTGACTAAGATCCAAATGGTCTCCTAATAACCTCAAACCATTCATTTTTCTTGTCCTTATGGAAAGTTTAGAGTCATAATTGAGGAGTAAACTTTTAATCCAAAATAGATGAGCAGATATGGAACCTCACGCGTGAACTCAAATTCTTCACAGCCGAATGAATATACAGAACATGATGATTCCATTCGATCTGAATACGTCCTCAACTGATGACAGCAAATCGAAATAATAAATAATTCATTACCCACAAGCTCACCAATGAAATGAAATACCTTTTAGTATTATTCATCATAGAATTCTTATACCAAAGAACAAACCACTTTATATTTCCTAGGATTGGCGAAAATAAGACGAACAAATTGAAATCACCTCCTAATTGATATTGATATTATATTTTTATTAAGCCGACCACTGACATAAATAAAACACTTGAGACGATGCCATCCACCTTGCCACCGCTTATGAACAAAATGGATTCTAGGTTGATTTCGATACCACGTCAAAGTCATGAACGACAGTTTGGGGGTTCTTGCGTGTTGAGCAGAAGCGTTTTCAGGCGAGCAACTGACCCAACATTTTCGGGTTGCTGCGATATTACTACTAGCAGTCTAGATAGAGTAATTATTCGGTGGGCTAGCCAGGAAAGTAGTTGTTTTCCTCCCGTCATCTTTATCATTGTGTACATGTTTATGAATATTTGTGGAAAGAACTTTGAATGTTGTATTTATTTAACATTTCATTCAACTTTGAGCATTTTGGCTTCGTAGTTCAAAAGAGGACGAATGCAGGCTTTGTGGGGAAGAGGAGAGAACCCTCATCCACATAGGTACTTACGGGGGCCGGGATTGGCGCAGTGGAAGAGCGTCCGTCTCACGACCGCAAGGTCGTGGGTTCGATTTCCAGCACGGGCAAGGAACTTTTTTCAATATTTTATTTACGAATTAAATATTGTAAAGTTTCGGAGCATCGGCTGGGGATAGTCCTGCACGATTCGCTGTTGCGTTCCAATTAACAGTGCTGCTCCTAAAGTGGCGCATGGAGTTAGTAACAAAGCCTACACAGAACACGCAGAAAGATATGACGATGTGGTTGTGAGCATCAGAGAAGAAGTAGGACGGTGTATGTAGGTGGGTGTGGAAAACTACCAGCTGAGCGTGAGAGCGGGCCAGCTGCTTAAGTAGACCTCGGTCTCGGGGGTTAACGATGATAGTTAGCAGGCCTGCCACTGCGCATATGGTAGTGAGTACATTACTAGCCTACGTGTATGTAGGTGGGTGCGGAAAACTACCAGCTGAGCGTGAGAGCGGGCCAGCTGCTTAAGTAGACCTCGGTCTCGGGGGTTAACGATGATAGTTAGCAGGCCTGCCACTGCGCATATGGTAGTGAGTACATTACTAGCCTACAAAACACAGCTGAAAAACGCTGAAAAAGAGAGCTGATGGGCGGTGCCTGAAAAGGATGTTAGCCAGCTCTCTTGAGCGAACCACATCAGTCATTGAAAACACTTGGGGTTGGCAAAAAGGTCCCATTGGGGACTAGTTGCTGACGTGGAAACGTCCCCCACCAGTACCAGTACCAGTAGGTACTTACGGAATGTGTTTCCATATTGCCATCGAAATAACATAGACACCCACACTGATTGGTGAATGTGCGCCGTTTTTTGACACCCATAATATATCCGAACCCAAACCCTGCAATTCTAAACCACAACCTCGTTCATGGATGGACGATAGGGAATTACCATACTACAAAATCTCTTCCCATGCATGGGGATGTGGGTATGGATTGAGGAGTTTTAGGCATACGAATTGTCATTATTTCGAATGAAACTGAAAAAACTCAGGAAATATTTCAAGATAGAGCAATATTATGTAGGTTTCTTCCAACGAAATGGAAATTGAAGTTGAGAATTATTCAACTTCTACACGAATTATTTGATGGATACGCAAAAATACCTTATATTCTGTGCTTGTCGACTGGCTAAAATATCTTACTTTAAAAAGTAATAAAATGAGTATTGAAAATCCTATATGCCGGAGATTTTCTTCCAGATCTGTATGTTGATGTAGTGTATGTGACCAACCGCCAGAAATTACTGAATATTCGTGGGCCTTCACCAAAAATTATTTTATCAGCGCATTCGTCAAAAGGTACCAATCGTTGACTGTTAACGCAGAATAATATCAGACTATAAACAGAGCACAGATCGGGCCAGTTTTAGAATACTGTTCTCAGGTATGAGTTTCAGCACCCAAACATACGCTGAAGCTCTTAGATTCCATCCAGAGAAGTGCCATTCGCCTGGTTGCCACATTCACCAACTCTTTGAACCCATTAGAACACCGTAGAAAAGTCGACGACCTTTCACTTTTTATAGAAACTTCTACGGGAAATGTTCCCCAGAAATATGATTCCATCACTAGCAATACCAGTCAGATGAGCTCGACAGGACCAGTCAGCACATCCTTTCGTCGGTAACCTTGCAAAATGTCGAACAACATTCTACCAAAACTCGTTTGTCTATAAAATGGCGAAGCATGGAAATTCTTTGCCAATGGAAGGATTACCGAGAACTTATAGCCTCCACAAATTCAAAAAAATCCAACACGGTTAGGTACGCGCGAAGTTTCTCGAACAGTATAATAATTTCCTTCCGTGCGCTCCAAGAGATGAAAAAAATAGTTCATAGAGAGCCGTTTTGTCAGCTCCCAAAACCATATTCATCAGGATAAATGGTCTGCCAACTACACCCTTTGAGTCCATGAAGTAAGGGATGCTGGAGCTAATGCATTACAGTCATTAGTTTAATGAAGTTTAGTCGTTAAATCTTCACTTAAACTCGCCCCTTTCTTGCTTATGACTTGTCGCTTGCCACATGATACTGCTTAGATGCTGAATTAAGGGGGTATATCTTATCATGTGTCGGCTATGCCATGTGGATTCATGAATAAGTTCAAGGTAGCTACATACCTATTCTGGCGTTCTCTTCAGTGAATTTTCAACCCTAATCATTTAAGTTAGGAAGAAATATATGATATAAATTCTTCGATATAGGGGGAGAATAACTGAACTTTTTTTTATCCAGCATATTGAAAACTTTTTCTGATCGACTGTGCATGTTCAGTAACCTACAATCGATTTTTCAATTTGTCACATGACTACTGGTATATTATGACAGTGGTTCGCAAAATCGGTTTGGTTAGTGGTGAAACAGTGTAGTGGATAACATTCAGGTTAAACTTATTTTTGTCAAAATGATGTCTTTAATTTTTTCAAAATTGGCGCTAGCAGTGGTTGAAAGTTACAGTTTGTAGGTGGCCAAATTATAATGTGTCCTAACTTCTCAGAACCCCTATAGTTTCGAAATTTCAATGTAACCATATTCAAGTTATTGTGGAAAACAAATTATAAAATTTCAACTTCAATATTGTATCAAGACAAGTTAGCTCAAATCGTAATATTTTGAACTGAAAAACCTACCACACTTTTATGTTCAATAATTACCATCCTGTATAACTTCGAAATTATCTTGAAGTATAATAATTGTCATTCAGTTTTCTGAATTGAAAGGAATAAGCTTTACTCAATGGAAGTTCGGATCCTGGAATAGGATTAAATTTTCACATTGAAGCATATAATATGTCGATCCAATCCAGAATTCAATTTTCTAGTTGAAGACTTCTGAAAACCTAAGTTAAATTTCATATTCATCTTGGACTAAAATTACAAAGACCTTCCAGATCAAGAATTTAGATTTGCCAATAAACTGCAGTCTATAGATATTTTATTCTTCTTGTTGTTTCCGAATGATATACTTATAGTATATTCAGGAACATCATAGGAATACGTTTTCGTGCGCTCTGAAAAGAAATCCATAGGTTGTAGCAGGATTAAAAGTTCTGATCCTCATTCTCATCCTCCATCAAAATATGTTATGGGGTTATCCAATCGAATTATTCATTCAAAAAATAGGAATATGTATACACGCTATGCCTATTGAGCATTATTCAAAGATATTCTTCAGTAATATTCCTGAAATATTAAGAGAATAACTTTCAGATTATCCTCAGAAAAATGTGTGCTATCTGGGTATATTCAATGTGGTGCAGATTGAATGTCAACAATAATAATAATAATAATAAGCAATTGAACAACGAAAAGGAAGTAGTCTTTCATCTTCCATTTCATGAACTGGTTTTCTCATCATAACTTTCAAATCTCCTGACCGATTTCGATCTTTCAAAAACCATCAATTCTCCACTTCAATCTTCCCATACAAAAATGGGTTAAAATGAGAGGAAAAGATGGCCGTATAAAGATTGACTTTCATAAAAATCAAATTTCTGAATCAATTAATCCCTCACCTTGATTTTCCCACAGAAAAATTGGATCTATACACATTAGCTTACATACCTCGGGAGAGGAGTAATTTCGAAAAAAACAATTGAAAATATGTTGATTTAGAAAATGAATGGCTGTATGCACATTGACTCACATCATACCTTATGGAAGGAAAGCAATTTGGAAAAAACGATTGAAAATACCTCAGAAAATCAAATTTTCAAACCAACTAATTCTTCACCTTGTTTTTCTCACAGAAAAATTGGTTGAGATGATAGAAAAAGAATGGCTGTAAACACATTGACTTATATGCCTTGGAAGGGAAGCAATTTGGGAAAATGGATTGAAAATACCCAAAAAAATCGAATTTGGAATGACTGAATATATATTGACTTACATACCTCTGGAGAGGAGCAATTTGGTAAAAACTATCGAAAATAGCTTCAAAAATCAAAGTTTCAAACCTGATTCCTCGCCTAGATGAAATATATTCATGTCGATAACAGCCTATATATCTGGTATAATAATAAAATGGATTCCATATTACTCTCAGTATAAAATAAACTAGATAGGCAAGTATGAGTTTTTATTTATTAATATTGTTGAATTAAAAAAATATGTACAATTCCATAAAAAACTTTGATATATCCATCATAGACTGATCAACAAGAATAGCCAGTAGGTACGTAACTACAGTTACTAGCGTGCGAAGCACCTTCAAATGATACTCCCGACCAGTTGAAGTTGCTGCAAGCACCATCAGCGCAAATGATATACACCGGAGTCGATTCTTCTCCGGTCAAAGTTCCGGTGACCTTTTCCAGATGTAGACCTTTGATGGGTATGTTGCCAACGGGTATTCCAGTGGGTTTGCCCTTTTTATAGTCCTGTTCCACGTTGACAGCATACTTCCAGATACCTGAAGATAAAAAGTGGGATATATACTAAGTCCATGAGGTCACAGGTAAGTGTAGTACAGTGTAACAAGGAGAGGTCCTTCCACGGGAAATTGTTTATCACGTTTTGTGGGCAGAACTGTAGTATGTATTGCTCAGAAGTAATTGCCAACGAAATAGTACATTATACATCAAGGGACAGACATGCAAGATCAAATTTCAATTATTTCCAATACCTCGAATTCATTGTTCAATTTTGTTCAAGAAATACATCACCTTCAACTGAGCTGAAATGAACAGTTTTCGAGATATTCGACCCAAAATAGAAGATTACATAGTAATATTTCATCATTTTCAGTAGTAGAAAATTGCAAAAATATTTTTCTGGTGTTGAGTAGATTAGAAACTATTCAGATCTCATTCTGTAGCTGAACAGAAATAGTTATTCCACGCATGAAGGGAAAGAAATGTTTGTAATCTTCTACTACTGAAGAAGATAAAAAATTACTATGCAAACTTCTATTTTGGGTCAAATATCTCGATAACTGTTCATTTCAGCACAGTTGAAGGTGATGCATTTTTTCAACATAATTGAACAATCAATTCGAGAAATTGGAGATAATCGAAATTTCATCAGTGGCGTAGAAAATATAGAAGGAAAAGTTATCACAACCATCTGTAGCGCACCTCTGGATAAAATTCTCGGAATGTCTTTCTGGTCAAAAACTCAACCATTGAAAGATGAAACCATATACCGAATTTGAATGCATTATATCAATTTTTTCTTCAGATATTGCGAAAAAAACATTTTAATTTCTCAACTTCAACGCCCTGTATCTCGAGAACTGAACAATTGTCAAGCGTTGTCGGTCGAATTTCGCAACACCCTGTATACGTTGAAAAAAAATTTGGAAATTTCTGCAATTTTCGTTACAGATTATGAGGGAGCAAAAGCTTACTTTCAATGCACTGAGTAGATAAAAAGCCTTTGCTGACCGAGCATTTCTGATTAGAATTTTTGCTTTAAATTATTACACAGTATACACATAATAGGGTCATCAAGAGTCACAACATCAAAACTCAATATTTGTGTTTGTGTTTTGTGTTTATCATTTACCTTCCATAGCAATGTTACTGTAAGTAACATCCTCGATGATACCTTCCCCGGAATTGGTATGTGTTTTGATATGGATCCCATTCCTCGATTTGCGAACAACTGAATTAGAGAAAGTGACATTTCTGACGGTGTTCTTGATAATTTCATGGCTGGTGCCAACTGACAGACTCAAACCATGGCCTCCGGAACAATCCAAATTGTTAAAGATGAAATTTGTGCCTTGGTTGACCGCGATGCAATCATCTTGGTTTTTGACCACGGTATCTTCGATTGTCAGTTGATCTGTGGTGTTGATGTCGAATCCATCAGTATTGTGACCCAATGCATCCTGAAATGAAATTCACGTTTCAAACTTCATACAGACCTCATCAGGATAACAAGATCTAGTCCTCATCTATCTAAATTTCAATGTATACCGCGACTTAGCGATCTGAATTATCTCCTGATGAAGAGATGAAAGTATTTACTTTGTCTCCTTGGGAAACATCAATGTTCCATCCACTGAGAGTGAGTGGTCCAGAATGATCAATGGAAGTGCACTGTACTGGGCAGTTCAGTAAATTGATATTTTTGAAATGGGAACCTTCTGTTGCCTTTATTTTGAAAAATTTCGGCTTCGTTATTCCTCCGTTTCCTCCTTTGCCATCCCAATAGAGCTGTCCTTGTCCATCAAGGACTGAGCCTGAAACGATAAAATTCAGTTAACTCATTCATTGTCCCAAATCTGGCCGTCATCAAATAAGTATGAGTATCTCTCAAACTACAATAGAATAGAATAGATCTTTATTGTCTGAAATGCAGTACATTTTGTGGACAAAGGGTGTCATGTTAATAAATACATAGAATGTTTGGATTGTGAAGCATTTACAAGAATACAGTTAAGATTTAAAACAGACCAAAAAAAAACATGAAAGATAAGAAAAGTGTACAAATGTGTTATCAATAACAATATAACAATTTTGAAATTACTTAAAATAAATCGTAATAGGTATACATCGTAATATGCCGAAAGACTATAATTTGTATGCAAAATACTCTTCCAAACTCTGTAGTAGCCCTTTCCCATAACAAGGTTTTTCACTTATTTTCTAAATTGTTAAAGCTCAGTAATTGATGCAATATGTTTTGGTAGATGATTATATTATTATATTTGACTACTTCTATAGATTTGAGTCTGGTCAAAGATGATATGGGCAGTGGAAGAGCAAGTTTTTTATCGCGGCTCGTATGCCTTTCTGAATGGTTTACAAAGTTTTCCTTATGTTTGTGAAGTAAGCAGACAGTCTCTAAAATGAATAGTTCAAAAATTGTTAATATTTTGTTTCTGCAGAAAATTGGCCTACACGAGTCACGCATCTTCAATTTGAATATTATTCTCAAAGCTCTTTTCTGGATAAAGAATATACTTTGCATCAAGGTCTGGCTGCCTGAGCTCCAGAAAGGAATTCCAAACCAGAGATGACTCTCCATAAATGAATAGTATGCAGTTATTGCTGCTGAAAATCCGAGTTCATGAGATATGACATTTATGGCAAAGCAACCAGAAGACAATTTCTTTTTCAAAGCAGTAATTTGCGTATCAAATTTCAAATTACTGTCAATGAATATACCAAGGAATTTAGTTACAGGCTTACTTTCAATCATGCGTTCACCTAGTATTACTTGTTCTAAGTCCCACTTGAATGTTATCAGATTTGTTTTAGAAACATTTAGCGATAACATATTCGATTCACACCATTTTTCAATTTTTTCTAAATCAGAGTGGATAGATCGAGTCAAAGTAGTTGTTTTCTGTTGAATATTCAGAATGATATTTTGTGCATATCTTTACATGAAGGAGAATGCAAATTTTGTACTTCAGAAGATTTTGTTTTCCAATTCTTATCGTGTGTGTTCAATAGATGTAATTCAATGTTCGTCGTGGCATATAGCCAGGAAAGTAGTTGTTTTCTGTTGAATAAACCGAGAAAGATTCAATATTTTCATCACATGGAGAATGCGAATTCTCAATGTTTTTCTTTATATGTATATATATCCATTTTTTTGTGTTCATATAAATATATCTGAGAATATTCCTTTTCAATACTTTCACCCAATCAAGAGGTCGAACTTGAACGATGAAAATCACCATACTAGGCAGAAAAATAATTATTATGTACCTTTTGCGAAACTAATGCACCAATTTCTTAGTACTAAAGCTTTGTTCTCTTCACTATTCCTATATGTTTTTGTAACTATCAAAAGGTAAATAAAGTTTATTATATTATTATTATCATTATAATATCCACGTATACTCAAGATGTTACAAGGTAGCCTAACTCATTTGATCGTTCTGATTGGTTTAAAATGATATGAGAAAAATAATCAGCCTACCATTATTATATTGATATTCAACTTACCTTTAGCTCCCACAACAGTGATGGCTTTTCCTTTTACCCTCAGAAGAGGTCCGTACCATTCTTTATATGCGAAGGTAGTCTTACCCTCGAAAGTTATAGTTACTCCTTTTTTCTTGGTCTCAAGATTCAAAGTTTCGCCAGCAGGTACTTCAAGATTGGATACTACAATGTCTGTACATTCAGCTAACACTGAAGCTACTTGGTCGAAGCTGGAAATAGTGCAGCTCGAATCAGCAACCGGAGTAGCTGATGTGACTGCAATTGATGCAGCTGAGAGTACGGCTATCAATCTGATCGACAACATATTGCTCGAATACTTGAAATTGGTAATTTTTCCCCATTTTATAATGAAGTTTAATGACGTCAATGATTGATTGTTGTTGAGTTTTGAGTGTAGTAGAATTTAGTTTTACGTGGGAGGTTCAAATTCAATGTACCTATATTCTAATTGTTTCTGGAAGTAATTTGATATGACTATACAGCCATCATGCTATGCAGTAAAGTGGTTTTATGAAGGGTGTATTCCAAATTGGACCAATATGACAACGAATCGCAATTTGAGCAATTCACTTTAGTACCCTTTTTAACTACCTATCTACCTAAAAGTAGCCAAAAGAGAACCATTTTATAAACAAAACACCTGCTAACATCAGAAAGATTTCGCTCTGTGGATGACTTGAATCTACTTGGTAGAGCCATTAAGATACATTTTCGTCAAATCTTCTTGACCGATTTGAACTTTTCTTGTTTTGAATGGCAGGTTATCTCCTTCTGAACATTGGTGTGTAAACTGTATCCGCATAAAAACCAGATACAGGGTGATCAGAATCATGAATCTCGAACCACCCTGTATTTGTTCCAATTAAATGTCCCTAGGTAGTAAATCAGAATGTCCCTAGGTAGTAAATCAGAATTTGAGATAGGCACATGAGGCCGTTTTGACCTATAATGAATAGTTTCGACACACAAAAATCCTAACGTTGGAAAATCTCGATTTTGAACACCCTATTTCTATTTAATCATTTCGCGAGGCCCCAATTATGATACATTGATGAAATCTGAAATATCAAAGTTGCTACTACTTTCTGGTATGAGCGGCAAATATTTTAGATCGATGACCAAGAGCAACCACTTGACTAACCAAATTTTCAGAATGATCCTATGTCCCGTTCTCTGTAAATAGGAACCATCGATCGTGACCCACCGTGTATGTACAGGGTGCTTCAAACTTCTCGTCCTTTGCTCATAACAGGAAATGGAAAACTGCAAATGCAAATTTGGCAGAGGCAATTCGAATAGCTGTGTGTAAAGTATATTTTTTCTTATTTATCAACCTTCCTCAAAATGACAGAAGTGGTGTCAGAAAAATTATAAGTCACCATGTTTTTCTCATATTCTGAGAGAACATATTTGTTTAAACAACTTTCATCCCAAAACTTTTTTCTATGCCTATTCATCTGAATGACAGCTACCGGCCGACTTGATTTTTATTTAGGGCGGGGTCAATATTGAGATTTATTTGAAAATATTCACTTCAGATTCCCATAGCTTTCAACTAAATGAAGATGAAGAAAAAACTTTCTGAATAAAAGTTGTTGAAAAATAGATTCTTTCAGAATATGAGAAAAAAACTTGTAACAATATAAGTTCGATAGAAGCGGAAACGCTGAAGAGGTGAAAATATTCATTTTTATATCGATAGAACAGAACTGATTACCAAGTAATATTTACTCAACGTCGTAATGATGTCGTGACTATCACGTCATAGAAAGTACGTCAAAGTAACGTCAGAAACTGGTGTGTGACGAAAAATCACAGATTGGATACGTCACAGTGACGTGCCATTCTTCATCTAGTTGCCTGGGAACTATCCAAACTTTCTCTGCCCAATTTGCATTTGCAGTTTTCGTTTTCCTTTATTCCTGTTTCAAGCAAAGGGCGGGAAGTTTCAATCACCCTGTACATATGTTGATCGAATTGTGTGAATCGTTCCATTCCAACCTCTCCATTTCTTTTCTTTTTAGCTTCCTAAGTGAAAAATGCATAAGCCAATTCGAGAGCAATTGCGTAGGTATTTATTATTTGAATCGATCATTTGTAGACCAGAGCAATTATATCAGTTCAAATAGGAGCGCCCTGGTATATTTTTGAATAGCCGTGAAATAAAAATGGAATTATACATCTTGATTTGAGGTTAAAAACAGTTTTTCCTAATCTATTTACTGAACAATATCGCTGTTGATTCATATCAAAATGCATCTTGAGATTCAAGGTTCCCCATCGATTAACTTTAGTGATAGGTATCAACATCCAAACCAAAGTTTACAGAATTAAAAATATGGCAGTTTTTCGATGTCCAGAAGATGAAGTCATGTATAAATATGTGTTATAATCCATTTTGAATGAGTTTTTTTCACAAAAAGTAATCACATAACAATTTTGAAATAGTTTCTATTTATAAACAATCAGTAACTCGAATGATATTTCAAATTCTTTAATTAGCTATATGGAGTTCATGAATTGCAGTATCCAGAATTTATAAAATATCGACAGTTCACTTAATTTGGATCTAGTGAAGTTGACATTCAAAGACTGTCATTTTTTTGTATTGAAATTGGATTTTGAATTACGAGTTCAATGTGGAAGTGCCTCAAAATATAGAGCTGAATATTCGAAAAATATTGAAACAAACTAGATTAGCGCTCGTGAAAAGTAGGTCACTTCATTCATTTTTTCCTGATCTTTTCAGATATCAGGACAGATCTTGAAAATTTTGCCAAACAAAGTGTTGTTTTGAAATAAAATAGGTTTTCTGTTTTTCCTAAAGACGGACCTGTGCTGGGTTTTGATCTCAATTTCTATTTATTTTCATGAGTAATATAAGTGAGATATATCAACCAAGTATGAATAGATTATACAAAGTGGTTAAAAATTCATGATCAGATAAAGATTTTGTCAAAATCAAGATACAGGATGTTATTCTGTATCTCATCAGTTATAATAAAATGAAGTCGTTTGTCATAACAGCCTTATCAATAGCAGAAAACACATTCGATAAATATATAAAATTATTTTTTCTGTGACGGGAAAAAAGTTTGGCATTTCATCCCTGTTGGCAGGTTATAAAATGTCACTTTTCATAAATTACTTTTTTCCCGTGGGAAAAAAGTGAGTACTTCTTTCCCGGGTATATATCACATATATATACACTGTTGATGGCTTTTGTTGTGCTATAGTTCCGAAAAATGAGTCAATAATACCGTCTCCGAGAAAGAACTGCAAGTCCCTTTATCTTCCACTCGACTTCGCGGTTACGTATATTGCTAAATAACCACTGAATTCGCAATTTCTTGAAATAAAATCACAAAATCAGACTGACAGAAGTGACATCAGATATTTGATTACTTCAAATGAATGATAAAGATGCCTACAACGCGGTGTCCCTACTGTCACTTAAAATTTCACCTCGATAATTTTCAGATATCAAAATAATGTAATATCTTCTCAATATTGATTCGTCCTTTCTTCTGTCACAGAAAAAAATAGTGTATTATACACGGGAAAAATATTAGATTTTAGCTCACGGTTTGATGTCTCCCTCCGCTACGCGTCGGGAGACAACACAACCTGGAGCTAAAATCTACTACTTTTTTCCCTTGTATAATAAATAACTATTGAATGGTTATATATTTATATATAGTCACTATGCAGTTGTTGAAAATAACAGAATATTTTCCGAAAATGACGTAATATTATTCCTGAGTATTTTATTTGTAAGCGATTTCGTATCTTCCACGAGACTCCACGTGTGGCAACTCATTTAATTGTTGCCATTTTTGCTCTTTTGAGGATTTCTGGTGGTGTATAAATAATCCCATCGTCAATGCTTGACATTTTCAAACTGAAATTAAGAAATATCAATTGAAAATAATCATTATTAAAAAATATTACTTGCCTGCTTTCCGTTTCGATTGATAACTTGATTCATTGATGAAAGGGTAAGTAGGTACCTATACCTAACTACTGACAGTAACTGAAATTGTCATACCGACTAAGCAAGAAAACAATGAAGTAATAATCTATCTACATATCTATGAAAACCGTGTGCGATCGCTCGCTTTACGCACGCTCTGTGCGTAAGGATAGAAGCCTACTGACATTGTTTGATGATGCTGGTATAAAATCAGAATTATTGAGATCAATTACCTATTTATATGAATTCAAAAACGATAACAGTGACCTTGTGCTAAAGTTATTGATTTAACAAAGAAACACATCAATGAGTAGAAAGTTGAGATAAATTTTACTAAAAACGTACTTGAAATATTGAATCAGTTAGAGTAAATGTTCAAAATGTCCTCCGTTTCCAAGAATATTCATCTTTTTCTTAAGAATTCACTATTCTCCTGAACGGTTGAGGATCAGCTGTTAGGACATCCAAGTGATGATGTTCAATTTTGTCTTACAACTCTTGACGTGAATTTACCTCGTAGCATAGACTTTTTACGACACAGTATCGAGTTTTACCAAGATTACCATATTGGTGTAGAATTGAATGATGTTCAAGTTCACATTAAATTTGGATGGAGATTTAAACTCAAAAAAGTCATGTTTCAAACTAATCGGTACGAGCCGTGTAACTAGCGCCCTCTATGAAAGTGAGATATAAAAACAAATTCATACGATTTATCAGCTTCCAAAACACATATTCACACAAAATTCATTGAGTTCAATGACAAAATGTATTATTACAATGTTATTACCAGTATCGACATAATCGTAAAAATCGTGAAAAAACATTTTTTTCAACACATTGTATCTTGGAAACGGATGTCAATACGACATTTTTTTACTGAGCAAACCCAATTTCCTGCAGTGTTCTACCTACCCTTTAGCAAGGGGTCACATTTTTTTGAAACACCGTGTATATAGGGGTTAGGAAGGTCTACATGGGAATCAGAGTAACATATCTACCGATATCAGTGAAAACAAGTCGAAAAGTATATCTTTTGAAGGACTGTCAAGTATGAAGTGTCACAAGATAGGAAAAATTTCATGGAATTATGTTGTTTTATCGGTGAATCGGAGATTGAGTATATCGATAAATTATTATCATCAAAACGATCGTTTTTGCGCGTTCCCCTTTCATAAGAAAAAACAAGCATTGTACATGTTTAATCAAACTTTCATACACTCAGATGCAAAAAACGCAACCACTTTTAAATTTTTTGTTCAATGTTCAAAGTTTTTTAAGCAAACTGTATAATGACTAATTTCAACTTGCATATCCAGTATTTCATTGAATCCAGATGAATTAGTCAC